GTCCCAGCGCGACTGCCTTTCCCTTCTCCTTGTGCTCTCAGGCTGTGTTCACGCTCATGGGGAAGCCTCTTGTTTCGCCCGCCCGCCCGTCTCCCTTTTCCCTGCCGCAGAGCTCGGGATCCGGTGACTCCATGGTCGTCTTGGGAATTTCAGAGCATTTGCTGAACAGCGTGCTGGCCATGGCACAGCAGTTTGGGAGCTTCAACTTCCACGTTTTCCGGCAGACGGTCAGTGCAGCCTGGAGGGGGAATGGAGGGCCGCCTGCGTCTCATCCGCGTGCACTGGGCCGGCTCTAAAAGTCCTCCAGGGCACTGACCCTCCTTGGCTTCACTGCAGGTTTTGGCTGAGCGAAGACTCGGGAAAGCCTGAGCAACTCTTCAGCCGCCTAGAGGGATGGCAGGGGAGGGAGTAGTTGCAAAACACCCGAGCAAATGCTAGCACACGAGGGCGCACGGAGGTGGGAAGCTGAATTCATTAGGGCTACGGTTTTCAAAGGAGCCGAACGCCTTTGAAACCCCTCATAATGGGGTTCGTTATAGTCTGGCCCAGCAGGATGAATGGGAATCTGCTGAGTGAATGGAAAGCGAGAGCTTTTCTTGTGCTCTGGGAACATTAGGACAGTAAAACAATGGGGTGTATCTGCTTTGGCCTGTGGAGGAGCTGAATCAGCTCGTCGGGACAATAACTACCATTTTCTGAGGGTTTGATATTTTTCCTTTCCAGAGCGCTTCCATCGGTCATCTGACAACATCCCGGCTGGGCTCCTTCATCCCCGCAGTAAGGGGTATTTCTGTCTTCGGTGCTGACAGGCGCGGTCCTGCCGTGGGCTGGGGGGCGCGGGGTGAGGGAAGGGGTGCAGGCCAGGGCGGGGCTGGAGCTGCCATCGCTCGGCACGGCCGCTGTATGGGGACACTGGGTCCTGCCGGTCTCTTTCCTGCATCCTTCTGCTGGAAATCGCAAGCACGGGAGCGGCCGGCACATCCTGATCCGCAGAGACGCAGGGGGAGAGATGGCACGTCCGTACTGTCAAATGGGGGAGCAGAGGTCTCGTCAAGTCGGGAGGCTTGGGGTCCTCGTCTTGGGGCTGCAGGGACCACAGAGGGTCTGTGATCCTGTCCACCTGGCAGCGTGAGCGGGCACGGGGGATGGAGCGTCGGCCCTGGTACAAAGCGGTGGGTAGCCTGTGGTGGCCCTAGCCCCCGTCTGTCCCTGGGCTGGAGCTCGTCCATGGCAGGGACTTTCAGGGTGTTGTAAGTGGGGGCAGTTGTTCCTCAGGTGACTCCTACCTGGCAGGGGGCAGGACGCGGAGGTGCACTGGCCACAAGAGTCCTTCCAGACTCACCCCATGCCCAGGTGCCCCTTCGGCAGCGAGCCCGAGGAGCAGGGCTCTCAGGCAGAGGGGAAAGTCATTGCCCCTTGCTTGAGGTAAAGTTCCCGGTTCGATAAACATGTGTGTGCACGCGAGCGTGTGTGGTGGGGGGTTACAGAAAGGGACGGAGAAGCAGACGTGGCAGATGTCTGCCATGCGAGCCCTCTCTCCGAAGCACCAGATTTTGGCCGTAGGTAAAGGTGAGGGGTCGGCGGGGTGTGCTAATGCTCCCAAGGGCATTGAGAGACTTCTTGAATGCCTTCTTGAAATTTTCCCCACGGACCTTTGCATTTTTGCCCCTTTTCTGCCGCGTGGGGCATGGTCCTGCGGTCATCCGCGCATGTTTCCTGATGCCCTTGCGTCTCCTGCCCCCTCCCCGAGTCACCCCATAGGTGCCTTTCATTTGGTATAAGGGTCCCGAGTTTGTCCTGGGGCAGTCTGTGGCGGGGTGAGTGGTGGCCGTTGCGGGCCGTTTTGGACATGCGCGTGTTGCATGGCTGCCTAGCGCGGCACAGGGCCGTTGCTTGTCACCTGGGAGGTCCCGTCCAGCTCTGTGCGCTCATGTCCTTAAGCCTCTTCTTCCTTGCAGATCGCTCACCAGTTCCCGCGCCCGGAGCCCGTTGGGCTGAAGGTGACGGTGAGCAAAGCCCCCATCGTCACCTTTTTTGAGGGCAGAGCCATCCTGAGCCTGCATCCCTCTGTCGAGGTGGTGGCGTCGTCGTCGTCCTGGACTTCTGCTTCGCAGTCTCTCTTTACCCTGGACGTCGTAAGTGAGGCTAATCCCATCGTATTCCCCCATCCCCAGCCCATTTCCTCGGAAGAAGAGAGGGGCCATCTAGCTAAGGCCCGGCCTCTCTCCCTTGAGTTTTCACCCCTTCCTGGACACCCTTCCATGAACGTGGCTTTGCTAACCTGGCTGGACGGCTCCCTGCAGGCCGGGTCTCAGCGTGGTATAACGTGGTGGTGATCTGTGTCGTGGCAGTGACTCGGTTCGGGCCCAAGCGGGCTTGCACCCGAGTGGAAGAGAGAACCGGCCTCCCACAGACGTCTCGGCGCTCTCTCCCCCACCTCTGCTGCAGCTGGGATTGATCCCCGCTGGAGACGGGGTCTCCGCCTGCAAGGACCTGGGCTGAAGCTGCTCGCTCCTGCTCCATTTCCCCTCCCTGTTCTCCGGGCAAAGATTGCCTCGCCGCCTGTCGCCTCGTGCGTGGGTGCTTCACCCGCATTTAAGTCACTCGGCAGCGCAGTGATGAAGCAGCTTGTCCCCGGCAGATTTACTTTCTTGAGTGTAATAGTCCTAAAAAGGCAAGAAGTCAGATGGGATGAAGCCACCTTTTTAATTAACGGCTCTTTTTTAATCTCTTTGCAGGATGTGGCTTTGGTTCTCCATTTTGCTGTGACAGAAGTGAAGCTGCAGGCCTCTGTCTCTCTGCAAGGGTCAGTCTAATTCAGATTTGCTCGTGCGGGACAGTCCCTTGGACCCGCGCTGGGCAGTGCTGAGGACAGAGTGGTTCAGAAAACTACTTTGCAGTTTGATGGACTGGAGGAATTTTTGGGGCTTGGACTCTTGAAAAGATGTCGGCATCCAGTAGAGAACGCAGCAATCAATCCACCTGCGTCTTTGCAGCACAAAGGCGGGCAAGGTTCTTTGGGTAGATGTGACCTCTTTTATTAGACCAGCTAAATACTTCTTCTAGCTGGTCTAATGCAAGATAGCACATTTACCCAAGGAACCTCGTCTGCCTCTGTCCTTCGACCAACAACCAACAGCCCTTTCCAGCACCGGTGCACATTGCAAAGCTGCGGGAGAGGTGCAATACGTGTGTGCCATCTCCCCCGGGCCCTTGTAGTCTATACGGGACATTATTCATTGCTGCTCAAAACAAGGTGGTGGCCAAGGGCGGTGAAAGGAAGAGGCTGGGTTTTTATTGCTGCTTTTGTCTTTGCTTTATGCCTGGAGTGCTTGTTGATGGGAGGGGGAGGCCGGCGGTGTTGACAAGCAGCTCGGTGTTTAACTCCCTTTCCCCCCCTTCAAACAAGAGATCTGGCTGTTTCTGATGCCCATTTATAACCTGCCTTCTGCTCCAGAAAGTAAGAGCGAGCAAACCAGCCGTTCTAGAAATGTCTCCCATTTGGGAACAGGTTGGAGCTTAATGTAGGGTAGATCGCTGGAGATCCGCCTCGCCTCCGCCCAAAGCACCTGGGGGCAAGTTCTCCTTGTTCACCTCCTTTATTTTTATTCCCCTCTAGTGGTCTGAGGTTTGTGCTGGTTTCTTCCAGAGTTGGATCTGTCAAGGTAAGTGCCCATCTTCCTACCTTCTTCTATGTCTGGCAGCCAGATTTCATCTTCGGGGGAGATGTGGTCACTACCCACTGATTTGCTTTGCTTTGCTACCCAGGGATGGCTTTGTTTTTAAGGGCCGATCTGCAGCCGTTAATTTGCAAAGCCTTTTGGGGGCAAGGGGTTGAATCTTTGCTGCGGTCTTGGTGTCATGTTCCTCTCCATCTACCACCTATGATGTTTTAGTTTTTCCGGGGGTGACAGTCCCTTGGTATCCGTGCTGAAGGCTACCCTACAGCATAATGCCATTTCCTAGTCCGTGCTATGCCGTTTCTGGAGAGATCGCTTCACGTGGGGCTGGGATGATACGGCGCGGTAGTGAGTTTAGGGGCCCAGAGGAAAGTAAGAAGGGGACTGGACCCATAGTGCAAGGATACCGTCGGCTCACGATGTCTTGGCCCAACAGCGAATGCATTCGTGCGACCAAAGTCCGTGCAATATTAGCAACCAGGTTGCAACAGACTCTTTCTTGCCCATCGGCTCGTTCCTCGTGATGTCGACATCCTCTGCAAGGTAACGCAGCTGGGTTGACCATGTTGTTTCTCTGCGGACAGGTCTCCCGGGTGGCTTGTCTCATCGCCTCTGCTTTTGAGGAGGCGCTCGTGGCTCGACTGAACGGTAAGCAGGACGGCATTTGGTGCCAGTGCGGGGGTGTTGCTTGGCCCCCACTATGGGCTGTACTGGCTCTCACGGGGCAGAGGGAAGGGGAGCTGCCAACCCTGTCGGTGAGGGGGTGGTTTGCCCAGGGCACCTCTGAAATGTTTCCCATTAAATCTCATCATGTTCCAAAAGGCTTGGCTTGCACAGGCCTTCCCGCGACTCCAGGCTTTTCCCCCACGAAGGCAGAGGTGAGCTGGGTCGCACCAGCGTCCTAGCCCCTCGCTCGCCTCCCCCATTTCTAGAACAGCAATAATAAATGCTCCCCTGCCTCCGAGGCAATGCAGAAGAGGCTGGTAACATGAAGGGTCAGATGCGTTGGGGTTTTTTCCCCCTCTAAAAGGGATTAAGCTACTTGATGTCAGAACCAGAGCATCCATAGAGAAAGCCGTGGCTTTCTGCCAGCGGCTCCAGCTCCCCCCAGCGCTTCTCCGCGGAGGGCTGGGGGAGCGGTACGGGGTCAGTCTGGACAGATCGCCTCTGCAGAGAGTGGTGTATCCGTTCAGGGTGAGAGGAGTCTATACAACTAAGCGACTTTGCATTACTCCTTTGCAACGCAGAAAGAGAGATGACGTGTGCCAGCCCCGTGACTCGTGTCGGGCCGTGCTGGTCATCTCCGTGAATGAGCCAGTAGACCGAGACATCCAACCATGTAGTCTGCCAGCGTAAGCCCCTCTAATCTGTCTGCTTCAGAAGTCCTTGCTTTCTTCTGAAGAATAGACGTGGCAGAATAAACGCCTGCCCGTGCTGAGCCGCCTTGCTCGGCAGCACCGTGCCAGGGCAGGCTCCCGGGGTGAGTTTGGAGAACCGGCCAAGACCCTTCATGGCACCATCGTGAAGCAGCTGAATACAGCAGGGAGTTATCCCCAGGCATCCTCTTCCCGGGCTGGTCAGTGGCCTTTTGGGCTGCAAACGGCTCCTGTAGTTTAACCGCCTGCTGCTTGCTGTTTGTCTGTCTCCGTTTTCAGCTGTGCTGAGCGTGGGCATAAATCTGCCACGCCTGAACAACATCAAGTATGCCCACCCCCACGCTGAGGTTCACAAGGTGAGTGTGCAAGAGCCAGGGTATTTCCCAGCGGTGCCCTCTCTCAGGTCCTGCGCACGAGAAGGATTGGCAGTGCATCCCTCGGCGGAGAGCCGTGAACCGGAGTGGGGGGCTGCCGGCGCCGGTAAAACCAGGCGTCTCTGCTGCTGTTTCTGGGCAAGGGGTCCAGCCCCACGAGGTGCAAAGTGGCCAGGGCACTTGCTGGCAGCCCTTGCAGGGGGGCATGGAAACGTCCAAGTAATGGGTGGAAGAAGCCTGGTCGTGGGCTCCAACCTGCGTGTCTCTGCCGTCGGGCTCTTCGTTAACAGCTTTTTGCGCCGGGGTTTGCTGCTGGAAAGCGGGCGCTTTCACTGCATCAGAGGGGTCAGGGTATCGGTGGGGGGACTCCTAGTCTTGTCTTGGCTCATAACTTTCCTGATCACTAACATGAGGAGATTTCAAGTGGTCTGAGGCTGGCGTTGCGGGAAGGCGTTGGTTGAGTGCTTCTCAGGATGCTGCTTCCTGTGACTCAGCCCCTCGACCTTTCTGCCTCTGACGGTGGGGCTGCGTTCATATGATCGTCATCGTGTTATCATCCAGATGCCCAGCACCATTGCCCTCCGCTTTGACACACGTTCTCGCAGGAGCAAGGGTCAACAGCTCCTTCTGTCGCCGTGGGAGCACGCTGGCATCCTCACAACTGACCTTCAGCCTCGGAGGCTGCTTCCTTTCTCTTTGCCTGGTCTCCGCCGAGGAAACCTTAGTTTCCCACTGCTGCTAACAGCAGTCCAGTGCCACCAGTTCAGGACTTTGGGGAGCCCTGGAGTAGACACCTTGCAGATATTTTAAGTCATTCAACCGTGTCCAGAGTAGGAGTAGCTGAGATAACATCGGCAGGAGCGTTGTTTAATCCTCCTCATTTCTTCATCCAACAGGGTTATGCTGCGGTCAGCTGTGGCCTTGACTATGAGCAGTGAAGCGAGGAGAGGAACAAAGAGGAATAAAGCGTAACAGTTTTACTTGGCAAAATAGTCACCGTGTCAGTCATAGTTTCATAGTTTCAGGGTCGGAAGGGACCTAATAGATCTTCTAGCCCGACCCCCCGCCAGGGCGGGAGAACAACCCAAAAAAAAAAAAACCACAACAAACCCTAAAAACAAAAATGGGACTCAAATGAGTCCAGCCAAGTCCATGAATCTGATGGCTTAAAGGTGAAGAGCAATCAGTGCATCTTCGTTGCATGACTTTGCAGCTAATACGGCTGGCATTTGGCGGGGGTGGTGTCTCTGCTATGCAGCGTGCATCATTTATATCATGGGGTTTGGCAACAGTCCTTCTTGCACTTGCTCTACTTAGTTTAGGCAACATCTGCATCTTTCCCAGACCTGAGGAAGGGCATTTTGGGCATGTCTACATGTGCATTTACACCGGCTTAAATGTACTGCCCAGCAAGTTAGTGCACAGGAAGCAGGAATAGGCTGGTGTCTACACGTGCAGGCATTAAAGTGCATTAACGCTGTGCGTGGACTGACTTGGGACTAAAGTTAGTCTCAAGTCAGTCCACACACACATTGTTATTGTGCAGTAAGACATCTACACGTGCGTTTCTACGCAGTAACCAATCAGGAGTCAATTTGATACTGCATGATGCGGGTGTCAAATTTGTGCTGGAGTTGGGGGCTGCTCTGAGAGATGATGCAGCTGGTACCTGTCCTCACAAGCTCTCTCTACGTGTTTCTGTTCTCCTCCTGGTCCAAGAGGGGTTTTGGACCTGAAGCAATGCGCCTGTGCCAGTCCTGAGATCTCTCTCTGTCCAAGACAGCAGACCCTCAAGCTCGTTTGGCTTTGCAGCACAACTGCTGTTTCATGTTGAGCACTGAGGGCCACGTGGGTCGGATGCTGTGCATTTTCAGGGATGGGGGTATTCCAGCTGAACATGTTTTACATCATTTAAGACTCCTTGCAAAGACAAGCAGGGGCAGATCCAAAGGTAGCTTCCCTCTGCAAGGACAATTGAGCAGCAGATCTGTGTGCATGTTTGCTGCACGTTCACATCAGGTAGCGGCACACACAAAGAAGGAGCAGTCGGCATTTACACACCTGTGTGTGTTCATTTTGGGTGTGCATTTGACATCCTCCCCTGGCCCTGAGGTCTGGTAGCTGTAGCTGTGCTGCTCTCACACTTGCTGCTGCGTGTGGATCCTGCTAGCTGGAGAACTAGG